CAAAAAAAAAAAACCCCTAAGAAAGAGAGTTTTCATACTACTATTGAAATTGCTAGTTTGCATTTCATTTTGTAAAGCATGGGGGGGACGTACTTGATCTTGAACGGTCCTTTTCTTCTTCAAATTTTTTTGTATTTTTGGGTATTATTTTTTTTAAGCATGGTTGATTCTTTAGATTAAAGTTTACCCTTCAATATAATAATCCACCGTTATTTACTTAATTATAATTAGGCACCTTCCCATTTGTTTCGTGTTCCAAAAACAATTTTTTATATATAGGCACTGACGCAGCCCTTACAATGTTTTCCCAACTATTTTGCTCACTCACTTAAAATTTTGTCCTTTCCCTTTGTTGGATAAAAAGAAAAATATAATTCAGACCAAAAAAAAAAATAAAAAAAAAAATATATATATATATAAGTAAAATGATGATATACATTTATTAAATTATTTATATGGACGTCGTATTCGTAATGACTCATATCATACCTTACAATAATTACTTAACATATCCTTTTGATCTAAATGGGTAAACTACCAATAGCCGGACGGCCACGATTAAGAAACTAGAAAAATACCTTCGTCACCCTTCCATTTTACCCAACTTTCAAATCATTACTTAACCTACAAATGCAATGTGCCATTTGAATCTATACTCCCAAATGATGTTCTAATTAACATATATGTCAAATATTTGAAGAAAAATAGTTCCTGCACGCCCTTTTTTTATTTGCATACACTCAAGAAAAAATGTATGCATAAGTCGCTTCTCTATTTGAAAGAAATGATCATTTACAATGACAAAACTTAGATTTCAACAAAAGTACAAGTTAAAGCTAAAGTACAATTTAAGGCTTTGCTGTGTATGAGATTGGGTATGATTCAAAACTCATATCTAGATTTGTATATATAAAACATTTAAGTTAAGTGAATTTAAGTAAACAAAATTATAAGAGTTAAACCACTCCATCACTTTTAACCCAAAAATGAGAACTTAGATACATTGCGTTGAGGGGGGGGGGGGGGGCAACGATTCAAGTTGATAGATATCTCCCTCTTTTATTTATTATATATTTTACATATGAATATACATATGATTTAGCTAGAAGAAGAGGGCAGGGCAGGTAGGGGGAGTTATAAAAGCACCCCCAGCGAGGAGCTTTATATGGGACTAAAAAAGTGGTGGATATAGCCCATTTTAGAGCTATGAGGAATCTTTGAGGCTTTATAAAAAAATCTCTCCCAATGAGAGTCTATATCTTTCGAGATCTATATGGGGCTATATATATTTATTTATGTAGTAATTTGATTAAGCAATGATGTTTTTTTTTTTTGTGTTAGCTTTTCTTAAATTGATTTTTGGACGTGCTATCTTAATTTCTTTTTGTGGACCTTTCAAGCTAAAAAGTTCAAAATGTGACAAAGTTAGATTTAATCACTTATAAATTGTTCATTGGATTAGATTCTCTTATCTCAATCTCATCCGTTGATAGAAACAAACCCCCACTTCGCCCTCTGAAATAATTTGATTTTTCACGTATAACACAACAATTTACCTAGCACCAATTGGTAAATTAGTATCATACAATTTTGAAAAAAAATATTTGAAAATTTCATCCACCAATGCCCATGAACGTTAAATCAATTTGAAATTTTAATTCTTATGGAATTTAAAACAATAATTAATTAGCCAAATTGTAAGAAAATAAGAAAAAAGAATTAAAAAATAATAATAAAAGGAGAGTATAAGTGTGTTCGCAAGTGGAGTGAGAGTGATAGAATTTTGTTCATATAGGTTGCTACTTTTTTTGTGGGACCCACTGTTTTTTGGGGTTAGATGTAGCCAGATTTTATGCTACCTAAGAAATGAAGTTGTTAGCTCCAGTGATAGATCTAGCCCCATTTTCCGGCTCATTGAGAATGAAATTTCTTGCTAAGGCTTGAAATGTCATAGCCTCATGGAGGATAAAGCCCCTATTAGACCATCTCCAATTGTTGGGCTAAAAGTCAAATATTTTAGCCTGAAAAATTTAGCTTTTAGCCCAGAAAGAACTTTTCTGCTCCAACCGTTCTAGCCTAAAATTTTAGCCTGGGATTATTAAAGAATAAACTTAAACTATTTTTTTTTGTTAAATTAAATTTAAAAATAAATAAACAAATATGTAGACTATCGTAAATTAAATTTATGAACATTTTAATCTAAAAAATTTTAAATTCAGATAAATATTGAAAAAACTAAATTCCGATTTCTGGGCTAAATTTTGGGGGGAATCTAACCTTGGTTTAGCGTTTAGCATTTAGCATTTAGCATTTAGCCCAAAATTTCCTCTTGAGTTGAAGTGGGTTTGGGGGGAAATTTACCTTTTAGCCCGGAAAATTTAGCTTTTAACCCAGAAAGAACTTTTCTGCTCTAACCGTTCTAGCCTAAAATTTTAGCCCGGGATTATTAAAGAATAAACTTAAACTATTTTTTTTGGTTAAATTAAATTTAAAAATAAATAAATAAATATGTATACTATCGTAAATTAATTTTATGAACATTTTAATCTAAAAAATTTTAAATTCAGATAAATATTGAAAAAACTAAATTCCGATTTCTGGGCTAAATTTTGGAGGGAATCTGGCCTTGGGTTAGCATTTAGCCCAAAATTTCCTCTTGAGTTGAAGTGGGTTTGGGGAGAAATTTTGGGGGGGTAATTTACCTTTTAGCCCACCATTGGAGTTGGTCTTAAAGATGACATGCAGATTCAGAAGAGGAGGACCCATTTTTATTAAAGGAAAACTAATGAAAAGAGCTTGAAAACTTTGAGTTTTAACGATAATGACAAAATAAAGGGTAAAGTGAATAGTATTATGATCGACTTTTTAGTGTAAAAATATGATTTTTCATTAAAGTAAACAATACTAAAAACTTGTCGTTAAAATTATCTAATTGTACATAGAAAATAAGGTTAATACTGAAAAGGACATAAAGTTGACTGATATTGTGATATGGACTTTTGGGATCCATCGCCATCATCCGAGCGACCACCACCTAACAACCTCATCATCCATCCATCTCAGCCACACACACTCTCCTTTGATTCGTATCCTCTGCCTTCTCTCTCATCTCATCCCCCCAAATCCAATCCAATCCAATCCGATCCAATCCAATGACGAAGCGTTTGTACTTGTCCCGCATTATTAATACTAATCATGTACCTCCCTCAACACCAAACTTTTCTCCTTTTCCTACCTGCCTGACTCCTGCTATCTTGCGCACTGCGCCGAGTTCTTAACCTCCATACCCCATTTCCCACATTATTCATTTCAATAGATCAGAAGCTACTCTCCTTTGTTAGGAGAGAAATTTACATACAACAAAATATTACACTGTAGCAGTTTCTTAAAGCTAATTATATAGTGTCATGCATATTAGCTTTTTCAGCTATTTACAATTGCCTTGGAATGACACGCCACAATTATAATATTGCAGTCAAAATTCTTGTCATCTTTTTCTTCTTCACATAAAGCGATAAAGAAGGTGTACATTTCTCCAGCGACCAATCTCTTGATGTGCATATAAATTCGCATATAAGGAAAAGTTCTGCTTACACAACAAGAATCATCAACCAGTCACAAAGATGGCAACACAACAGACCTAGCAAACAAAACTCTCCTCCTAAGTCAATGCTACAATGTAAAACGAGTATGAAGAAATTGAAAACGATTATCTTTCTGTTTTTTTGTGGGATCTTATAACTCCGCTAGTAAGATATAAGCATCACTTTGCTCATATATTTATGACAAGGAAAAATGACAAGAATTCGACCCTTACTCTCCTTGCGATTGATTCTATGGAAAAATGACAAGAGTTCAACTCTTAACTCTCCTTGAATTGATTATGTGGAAAATTTTCTCACTTCATTCCTCGCTTGATTTGGAAAAATGTCTTATTTCATTCTCTTACTAGTATTCGTTGTATCGTTGAACGATTATGCATTACAAATATTATTGTTGTTGATCTTTAAGTAAATCTTATATATTATTCCTACCTTGATTCCAATTTCGTTACCTCTCTCATCAACCTATATACGTCTTCAATAATTAAGTTCTTTAATTTCTCTCTAACAATAAGAGATCGACTCTCGTCATCCAAACTCACATTTTTCTTTAAAACAAATAAGTAAATTGAAAAAAAAAAGTCCTAACCCATTCTTGATGTCAGATTTTGCGAAAGTCCAAGTGTATTATTGGCACTTTGCAATCCTAAATTATAAAAGTGACGTTGGAGATCATCTTTTTAGATCATATTTTGTAGATTACATGATATGACGATTGATGGTTGAATTCATTTTTTAACTTATTAAAAATAAAATTCAATAATTAACTGTCACATCATGTGGTTTATGAAATATACTTTAAAAAGATAACCTCCTAACATTTTCCAAATATAAATTATATGGGGTCTAATACAACTATATAGCAGAAGCATGTGAGTGTTAGAAACGAAAATACAGATCTCATTACGAGATACTATCATGTGCCCTAGGAACGAAAATTATTAAGTATTCACAAAAGATGAGAAGCAACTCCAAATTATAATCTAATTATATAGGTCCGTAGCCTGACATTCGAATGTGAAAATACCTCTTCTAGTTAGTCATATGGGTATAATTCCTTAAAAATATAATTAAGATTAATTTAATTATAATCGTACGAATTCTTCCATAATCTCAAAAGAATTAGCATGTTTTTAAGACTTGCAGGAGGGGACATAGCCATGCAAAAAGGAGGACAGCAAGTTGGGTGCTTTTGGTGTTTATTCATCGTATTTGAATTTAAACAAAATTTTAACGTGCATGTTCAGATATTCTAAATATTAATTTTAATTTTTCTTGTCTTGGAATATTATTAACTAAAATATTAACGCGTGATTAGGTAAGGCAGAAAAAGAAGAAGTAGTTAGGTTAGGGTTTAGTTTAGGAAGAACAAATAAGATTAAGAAGAAAATGACACAGTTGAAAAAGAAAGATAAATAATATAAAAGCAGGCATATTGTAGCAGGACAGGTACAAATAATTAATTAATTAATTAGGTGAGCTCTTTGTCGCGTTGAGGATAGTAGGTACGGGGCCCAGAGAGCTGAGTGAAAGGTTGGAGGGCCCACCGCCGCAACCGCGCACATGACCTACGTTGGACGGCTGCCAACTACTGCCCTGTACAAGGGGAGTTGGTAGCGTGTTGGAAAGAGACCCTTTCCCACTTTTATTTTCTGATGTAAAAAATATAAGAGAAAGAACAAATAAATAAAAAAAGAACATTAAACCCAAGGTCTTAAATGCCGATAATATCGGCGAAATATCACCGATATTATCGGTTTTTCGCGGTAACGATATTTTAATAGGTATCCAATTGGGTTTCATCAAAATATCGTGATATTATCGATAATATCGCGATATTACCGATAATATCGCCATATTTTGGATATGTGCAAATCAGAGAAGAACGCTGAAGCTTCTACAGCTCTGGCCGATTACAAATGCAAACCTTAGACTCCGATCTAATTACCAACGTGAAGAGGAAAGAGAGAGGAGTAAGTTTATACGCTTGGTTCGCCGTGAAATGGCCAAAGGTGTTCGGAAAGTTTCTCAACAGTCACGGGTTCGCCGGAGTTGGGTGAGCTTTCCCCCGACCTGATCTCGTTCCAAAACCTTGGAAAATTACGAGTATAACACTTAATAACACACACCCAAGCTTCAACTAGAACGAATAGAGTTAAACCCGAAGCTTACCTAACCGGAGAAAATGAAGAAAACTCGCCGGAGGTTTCTGGGTTTCATCGATCTTGCAGAGACAAAAGGAAGAGAGAGAAAGACGAGGTTTTGATGGTGATGCCGTCTACGGAACGATGGTATGGGTGCCGTGTACTAGGGTAATCACGGGAGAGAGAGTGAGAGTGATGAGAGGGTTTCGAGAGAGAAGAGAGTGTGCAGAGAAAGAAAGAAAGAGAAGAAGAAAGAAAGAGGGTCTCAGGTAGGGGACCGAAAACAAAAAAGTTCTTCCCCAAAAAAAATTGTCTCCTTTCTTCAGAAAGGTTCTTCCCCAATAAAAAAATTAAAAAATTAAAAATTAAAAAAAAAAATAAAAAACACACCAAGGAATTCGAACCCCTCCCTTTGTCAACCACGCACCTGGGCTTTATCCAACTCGTTATAGATGTGTTTATGATTACATATTCAGCTTGTAATAATTATATGGTCGTTAAGATGTCTGCAAGGCTTGCAAGCTAATATTTATTATTTATGATAAATTTCTATATTTAAAAAAACACCAAGGGGATTCAAACCCCTCCCATTTTACTCCTTCAACACCTTAACCACCATATCACTTATGTTTTTGTGAAAATATGCTAAAATACACTTACTCTACACATAGAGATGACGAAGATAGTGAAAATTTTGAACCTCATAGGAACTCTATGTGGTACTAAGTCACTCATGTATCTTACCATGCAATGTATAAAGTGTAAAATATTGTATTAATTCATTATATATAAATGATTATGGTGTGTTTAAACTTCTTTCATTAATTACTACATATTTTCTATACTCATAATGTTTGCCAGTTCGCTAAATAATCAACTTAAATCAGTTAAATCCATCATGCAATGCATTTCCTTCCAATTTTTTGTGATAAACTAATAGATAATTGACTAAATAAACATCTTGCAAAGTTTCAATAAAAATTTCCAAGTTTTTCTTACAATTTCCGTGGTTTCCATATTATTTTTATCGATATCGATAATATCCCGATATTTCCATCGATATTTCCATGTTTTTGGACTACTGATATTTCCGATATCATCGATATTTTATACCTTGATTGAACCCTTTGCTCTCTCTCTCTGTATTTGCCCTTTATTCATCCACAGATTACAAGCCTGCCATTAGTTATTAGTCCGTAGACTGATGCTCATTGTTTAGAAAGTGATATCCGTACCTTGTATTTCCTTTGCACATCTTTTTTTATTTCAATCTCTTAGATTATGTTTACTTAACAGATACTAATATACGCCCATGCACAATGTATATCAAATGTTTTATTTTTATTTTTAAAATTGAAGGAAGGAGGAAGAGAGTGAGAGAGACGACAAGGAAGGGGGAAGAGAGGGAGAGAGGTTTATTTTTTTTTTTAAATTAGAGATGTTAAAATCACATGTAGGTGAAGCTTAAATCAAAATCAACAAAAATTGTTTTGTGAAATTACGTTATTGCCTTCACTTCTTCGTTGCGATAGAAGACTAAATAGTTTTTTACCCTTCTATGGTTGACAAAGAGGGTTCTTTTAATATATAATTTAGATGAGAAAAAGAATTGAAGAATTAAGAAGTAGGTGGAAGTAAAGAAAGAAAATCGAATCAACTAATCCCACCATTGTTGATCTTAAAATTCTGATCTTTAGGTATTTAATTATGGATTTTAAGAAGAATAACTTACATTTTAATGATTCTTATTACGTGTAAGTAACCGTAGGAGAAAGTTCCCCTACATTTTTATTCCGGCAAAAATAATTTTAGTAAACGCAAGAAACTCGAGAAGCAAAGTGATTCCAATTCCTATTCCTTGTAACTTGTAAGTAAATTCAAATACAAAATAAACAAAGGTGTGAAAAAAGAATTAAAAAAAAGTCATTTAAATCACGTCTGGTAAACTATACAAGCATATAAGATCATTGTTGATTGTGAGCAGACTGAATTTGAGGTAGAATTGTAAAACGAATGCGGCTGATATGGACACGAATGATGTGGTCGGGTCATTTAATGAGACAATATATTTACAAACTACATAGTTGATTTGGGAAATCCAAACTAATAAAGAAATTACAATGAGGAAATTCTTAACTCACATCAACACTCTCTCTTAAATTGATGCATACATATCACCTAAACTCAACTTCAAATGAGTAGTGAAAAACCATTGCGGACCCCGCATGTTTTAACATGTCAGCTAATTGCTCATTTGATCTTACATATGGAATATCGGCAAGCTTGATGTCCAACTTCTCATTGATAAGATGTTTATCCACTTCAATATGCTTCGTACAATCATGTTGAACCGGACTATTGGCAATCTCCCTAATTGCTTGATTATCAAATAGAGTTGCATTGGACCCTTCGGGTTATAACCAATTCCCGTGAGAAAAATTCAAAGCCACAAAAGCTCACAAATACATGAGCTATCCCCCTCAACTCAACCTCTGTAGTAAGATTGTGGTGTCGACACTTCTAGAAGATGTGCCCTTGCAGTCTTGAGAACATGACTATTTTTCTGTTCGGCCACTCCATTCTGTTAAGGTGTTTAGGGATATATGGTCTCGTGTAGGATGCCTTGTTCTAGAAGAGACAATTTGACATTGACATATTCACCTCCATTATCCGAGCGCAGCACCTTAATAAGGAGTGAAAATTGAGTCTGAACTAGTTGGATAAAGCTTTTGACAATTTTAGCGACATCACTCTTCAGGTACATGGTATAGAGCCAAGTTATTTGAGTACAATCATCCACAAATAACACAAACCAGCGAATTTCATGTTGAGTAGAAATAGAAGGACCCTCACATCAGAATGTACTTATTCAAATAGAATATTTCTTTTAATGAAGCCTACTGATATGAAACACAATGACTTTTTGCTTGATTACATACATTATACTTTAAATCAGAGTCCAAAACACCGCTAAAGAGAGACAAAATTAAATTTCTCAAATAGCCAAGCGATGTATGTCCAACTACTGATGCCACAACATAATTTTCTTCAATTGGTCACCATTCCTACTACGAACATGATTAACTTTGCCTAGTGCACCATCATCGACATAGTACAACCCCTTTCTCTTAGTGCCACACCCAATAATCGCTTGAGTCCGGATATCTTGAAGGAGGCAAGAAAACATTAATACAATACAATCTAGTTGTTCAGTAACTTGACAAACAGATAAAAGATGGTTTTATAAAGCCTGAATAACTAGAGTATTATGCAATGATAAAGATGGGGTGAGAGAAATAGAATCAGCTATTGTTACTGAAATAACATATCAATTTGCAGTGATGACGTTCTATTTAAGTGGAGGAGTCACGGATTGAAAGAGAGATTTGTCATACGTCATGTGATCAGTAGTACCAAAATCAATATTCCAATTGAAGTCACGATCTCCATACGCAATTAATGCTTTTATTGATTGTTCTAAATCATCCAGACTATACGAGAGGGATATTTGATCAATAAGAGACAAGATCGACACATTTTTATCAAGAGCCGATGCAGCCGCGGTAGATCCATCGTAGAACATATGAGAAACTATCCCAAATATTCTTAGCAGTTTGTAGGTCAATGAACAATCCAAGTAGGTGTAGCTCCATTGTTTTCGGTAACCACCCCTTCACAATTGCATCTTTGGTTATCCACTTTTAGAACCTGGGCTCCGTTTTATCCGGCTGAGGCGATTCTCCAGTCAAATAGCCAAGCTTTCCTGACCCCGTTGCATAGACTTCCACCATTTGAGATCAAATTGAAAAATTGGTACCAGAGAGTTTAAGCCCAAACGGCAGGGTATTAGCATAGGGTGAATCACTTAAATTAGAGACTGAAATTATATCGCTAGGTTTCTATTTTCTCCCATAGAAGAAGTCGATTGATATAGTGAATTTAGGTTTACAATTTGAGTAGGATTGATTGTCTAAGACACAAGACAACCAACAAATAATTGGAGTCGGCAACCGGGAAGAAATTGACAAGTAAGGATTAGGGCCGACAAGTATAGTAGTATGTCAAGGGTTTTGGTTTGGTGATGATCTCAAATAAATTGAAATTGTGCAAGAAGCGGTGCGGGCAAATAGCAATTGCCGCCCATAAGGTTTTTCAAGAATTGAGACGTAAAGTCAAAACCTACTATGGTATCAAGATAAAATGTAAATATGGTTTGGATTGTTTCATGTATTCTTCTCCCAAGGAGGCAACATATATACAAAATACATAGTTAACTAGGGTTACAAGAAATTGCCTAATTAACAAGTTAAACCCAACCAATAAGAAAATTACAATAAGGAAATCTCTAACTCACACCAACATCATGTAATTAGATTATTTTTAATTACTATAAAAAGGGCAATAATATTAATAAAATCTAATGGTTTTGGTAAGTCCAGTGAAGCTCTATTATGCCTACTGACTCGACCCACATCATTGTCATCCTTAACGATATCAACTCTTCGAAGTAGGACGATGTACTACTCAGAATGCCCAGTGCTCGTCTTTTTGCACATACATGTTCACAGTTGCCTAATTATGCATAATTCGCAAGAGTACAATACTTTATTTGTTAAGTTCTTGATAACTCTTCTAACCTAGCACAACATAAATTTCTTGCCAACCCTTTGTGTGGTCCCATCTTCCCAACTATTATATTCTTCATAAAGTCTGATTAATTTTGGATTTTTTGGGGTAAAGTGTAGGGCAATAAACGTGGAGCATAAGGTGGAGAAGTTTTTAGTTGTGACAGGAATACGGATGGTACACCACGTGTTTATATGCAAGTGGTGGAAAATTTTAATTTTTAAGCTGTTAACCTTTTAACACACATAACCCATCATTTATATAGAGACACGTGGTGTACCACCTCGTGTAACATCACATTGAAAAATCTCTCCATAAGGTGAACGTGAACCATAATTAGTCATGTGGAGTCCTAAGATAGGGCCATTATTCATACAACATGCACATTTTTGTCATTAAGTTGGAAATGCTGCGATCTAACAACAGTTGGGATATAGTATACCTTTCTACCAAACAAAAGGTGCATATGGTTGGATGCAATTATTTAACATTTGAGAAACCCTAAGGGTATTTTAGTAAAAACACAGCTGAGGATCTAGAAGAAAGACCCACTGAAAAAAAAAATAGATAAATTATAAGGTCAGTCATGCATATGATGTTGGTGGAAGTTGAAGCCATAGAAACAATATATAATTAAGGTGAAACAATATATAATTAAGGTGGAACAATA